ACTTAATAACAAACAAACAAATATAAATACTACCCCCCCCCCCCCCCCCCTTGTGTAAACTATGTAAATGGTTACTGAGACATTAACCGGCAGAACTTAAGCAACTATGTAAATGGTTAAAGTAATACGTCATTGTGGAACCCAAGATTTAAAAAGAGAAGAAATAAAATTAAGTTAATTGTATAACCTAGTTACACAAAAAAAATTTAAAATGTGGATGTTATAAATACTAAATATGATTGCTCATTAAAGCTTTTTTTTGCCCCCACTGAAAAACTGATGAATATTTGCGAGCTGTACGTGTAAGGGTGAAGAACATTGAAGGGAAGCTTGGACTGTACTTAAAGTACTTTGTTCGAACATATAGTTGTATTTCTTCTCTGGTGGCATACAGTAGTTTTTGTCGAAAAAGTATTATGTTTTTCTAGATTCATGTTAACATTAATTGAGTTTTAAAGTGCGATGTACTACATGTTACAGAAATTGTTCATGCCAAAATGTATCTATTATTGTACTGGTTGCACTAATGATAATTTTCATTCAATTAAAAAGTTGATTCACTAAATGGCAGTAAAATAATTTTGATTTTTATAGGCTTAATGCCATAACGTGATAATTGAATACATTAATGAAAAATGAGCTTCCACTGCTTGAGACCCATTAGCTCAGAACAGTGGTTCCCAACTTTTTTTCTTTCCACTCACAGGCAGTATCTTTGTAAACATTTCATGGAGTTTTGCTGATATCACTAATGTCTTTCATAAAAATGTTTAGGTGTCCAATGATCGAGGAAACAAGTTAGAAGAATCTTTGACGTACCAGCAGTTCCTTGCCAAGGTGGAAGAAGAAGAAGCTTGGATTTCTGAAAAACAGCAACTTTTATCTGTTGAAGATTATGGTGACAACATGGCTGCTGTACAGGTAATTCTACAAGTTTTTAGTGGTATCCATTTCATAAATTTGTCAGCTCAACTTTATTATTATCATTTTTGTCTTTAAGGTTTGTCAGTTTTATGAGGCTGGGTTCTTTGCAGTAGGTGTCTGTGATTTGTTGGCGATAAATTTTAACGTTAAGTGGACAGCACACAATCACTTGTTTTAAAATAACATATTCAAAACAAGTCAAACGTACGTACACAAAAATAACTTGTCATACTATTGGTTACCACAGTTGAATCTAGAGCTATAATAATTCTCTTTTGCATCAAAAGTCCACACAGGCTGGTTCAATTACTGTAGAACACAATTGACAAAACGAATTCTTCTTCTCTATCTCTGTTATTACAATACAAGTTGTGAAACTCACTTCCAAAATCACTAATATAACTGTTGGCTACCACAGTTGTATCCAGAGTTTTAAATAATTGTTTCCTTTTCATCAAAGTCCACACAGGCAGTTTCAATCACTTTATAACAAAACGAATTCTTCTTCTCTATCTCTGTTATTACAATACAAGCTGTGAAACTCACTTCCAAAATCACTAATATAACTGTTGGTTACCACAGTTGTATCCAGAGTTTTAAATAATTGTTTCCTTTTCATCAAAGTCCACACAGGCAGTTTCAATCACTTTATAACACCGTTTGACAAGACAAATTCTTCTTTATTTCTGTTGTTGCAATAACACTTTCACTTTTGAAATTACCCGTTATGGCTAAACTGACAATCACGCAGTCTAACTTCACATTTACTTTTACTAACTTATATTAATTCCTCTCTATATCTGCGCATATTTATAACAAGCAACAGAAGATCTAGAAATATCTAGCCCTCTAGTACCAACAATATTAAACATAACAAGATAAAGATAAAACAGAGTAACTTATCGAAACTTGTCATAACTATCACTTTTAAAATAATTAACTATTAATATTTGTTATGAAAAATAAATAATCATTAAATATCAAATCACTAAATAAATTCAGTAATAACTGTTAAACTAAACAGTCTTGTGTATTCAACAAGGCTTAAAAGTGTATCTACATTAAGGTACAAGGAATATTGTATGCAAAATTATTTTTAAAAATATCTAGCTATTTGTAACATGAAGTGATAATAAAATACATATATAAAAAAATCCATAATTGAATGCCAAACAAAAACGGCATTTTCTAGGTAATTCGTACTAAATGTTTAGATTAATTTCATAATTCTTGCTATGTTATATACATTTTTTGAGCAAGTAAGTGATAATTTATGATTTCTTTACAAGTTCTCCATATTGCTTCTCTATTTTGATTCTCGTGGTGGGCACACTACAGATAGCCCATTATGTGGGTTTGTGTTAAAAACAAACAAAGTGAAAATCTTTATTTTAAAAATTGTAGAATGTATAATCTAAATATTTTTATATTTTTTAAACAACTGTTTATAGCTTTAGAGACAAAAATTAAATGAAGTCATTTGCTTTACTTGGATAATTAAATAATTTATTCGATTAAGGGGAAAAAAAAATGTTAATGATATTTTAGTTTAATTCCAGGAAGAACTAACGAATTTTAGTTTAATTCCAGGAAGAACTAAAGAATTTTAGTTTAATTCCAGGAAGAACTAAAGAATTTTAGTTTAATTCCAGGAAGAACTAAATAAGTGCTACTTGAACTTGGGCTTTAATTATTTTTATCTTTATAAAAATGCAATGTAATATGGCTATAGTTACTTTGTATAGCTACTTTTTATAGAATGGCTATAGCCATGGTTACAGTATCTAGGCATTTCATCTGGCTTTAGTTACGTACTCTTTAGAATTTTTCCAAATTATACATAGGTTATTAATGAACTATACAATAGGTCTACAGCTATAATATATGAATAATATATCATTGAGCAGACATTTTCACTGTGGATGTGAAATGGCAATGTATAGAAAAACAGCACGTGTTCATTAACTAAATATATAATCTAGCTTTGACAAACATGAGTGTATTAAAACGTTTCATTACTTTAAACTGGTGCATATTGTAAAGGATCAGATTGTCTGTAGTAAGAAGATAAAAGGCATGTATCTCTTTGCCTCAGTTGATTTGAATTGAATATTCTAATATTAGATCACTAGTGAAGCAGTTAAATTCTTTTTTAGCAGTTGAAGTTAAGACTTAATGCTGTGTTTAAATTTGTAACTATTACCATTGGAATACCATAAAAAGGTTTTAGTTTAACTGCTATTTTTAATCTCTGCAGTTAATGTTTAATGGTTAATGTGCTAGGTGCGATTATAAGAGTCCATGGTTCATGTCCCATGATCATTAAAAACAAATTGCACTCAGTTCTTTGGGGTTGTGTGTAAGAGTTTCAGTGGATGTTGTTGACTAATTACCCTCTGGTCTATAATATAAGAATTAAAGATGGTTAGTGGAGATAGTCTTTGTGTGAATATCAAAAGCAAACACTTTGTCTGATTTTATAGTGTTAGCTGTTAATCTACAGAGCTGGTGCGTAACTACTAGGTGATGTACTTTGAATAAAAACTAGCTCCAGGAGCAATCTAACTTCTGATGCTTTTATAGTCTCATATTGTTATAATAGTTTCAGGTGTTAAATAGTGATACTGTGGTTTCAGGTGTTAAATAGTGATACAGTAGTTTCAGGTGTTAAATAGTGATACAGTAGTTTCAGGTGTTAAATAGTGATATAGTGGTTTCAGATGTTAAATAGTGATACAGTAGTTTCAGGTGTTAAATAGTGATACAGTAGTTTCAGGTGTTAAATTGTGATACAGTAGTTTCAGGTGTTAAATCGTGATACAGTAGTTTCAGGTGTTAAATCGTGATATAGTAGTTTCAGGTGTTAAATCTTTTGAGTGAACCAAGTGCTATTATTTATAATTCAATCTTTTGATGTAACTCCTCCTTTCATTTATCTCCAGACAACCAGTCAGTCCTATAATCTTTGATATAGCAGACTAGATTGTTCAAAAAATTTGAAAAAAGGTTTTAATGATAAGTATGAACTCAATTTTAGGGGTTATTGAAAAAGCATGAAGCCTTTGAGTGTGACTTTGCTGTACATCGAGAACGTTGTGGAGATATAACACAAGCAGGTGACCAACTTATAGCAGACGGTAATCATCATGCCGACAGTATTCGTCAACGTCTACAGCAACTGCAGGATCGACTAAATGCCTTGGAGGCCAGCACTATCAGGAGGAAAGGAAAACTGAAGGATAATTCAGCTTATTTACAATTCATGTGGAAAGCCGATGTTGTTGAGAGTTGGATCGGTGGGCATTCCATAGCCTTAGTTCTTGTTTATAGAATTGTTATAATTTTTTTTTATATACTGTCTGAAGTGTTTTACATTGTTTCATGTACTTCTACTGTTTTTCACAGAACTTGTGAGAATTAGGCTATCTTTAAAATGTCCGTTTATTTATTCTCAAATACTTCTTTTTATCTATGTTCAGACTTGTGACAATTTTTATACAATTAACTCCTCTCATAAGTTCACACAAAATTCCTCAAACTTATAGAAATAACTGAATGATGTATGTATATACTGCATAAACTGGGGGTGGATTACCTTGTTCAACTTGTATAGATTTATAGTATTTTGGCACTTGTGTATGAAGTTAAAATTATAAATAATATTCAACGTTAAACTGGTACACAATTAAAAACATTTTATTTAGGCCTATCTGAGGATGACGTTGTAACGTCGAAACATG